GCAAAAACCTCTCAAAAAAAAAAAAAAAAAAAACTCTTCCCAAAGAAAACAGTAATGTAAATTCTTTGGGATCAAAATGTATGGCTAGTACACAGTTTAAAAATCAAGAAACCATATGTAAGTTCTTACCTTCTATTCCAGAACTGAGGGCTTCTTGAATTGAACTAGAACCCATGTTCATAGTGAGTATAATCACATATGCTTTAATAGGAAATTCTCTAAAAGCAGTATGTTTGCAAAATTTTGAAGACTGTTCTGCTGTAACTCACATCCCATGAACTGCATTAACTACAACAATTTATTTCTAGAATCCCATGTATTTCTTCAGTGAATACTGAATTTATGCCTGCATCTTTGTGTGTGTGTGTGTGTGTGTGTGCGCAGGAAAATGGAATTCAAGTAAGAGTTTATTTTGGTATAAACAAAAATGGAAATCCTTGTGTAGCTTTAATAGTACACATTTTCCACGAACTTTTTGAAGATCCCCTTGTACAGCCCATTAATTCATACGACAAATGCACACACCCTCTGGGACTAAGGAAAAGAGAGGGGGGGTGAAGGAAAGAAGGAAGGGAGAGAGACAGGGACTCCTGGCAGGGTCATTCATGCCATTACCCTCCCACCCAACCTTTTATCCAGCCCAAATCATAGGTGTATACTGGTACACCTAGCGTGTTCCAGTTGATCTGAACCAAGTCCTCCCCCGTGACTCTATTATTGGGTAGTGATGCCTTGCCACCTGTGTGGGTCCTGGCCCTGTATCCTTAGCTGCTTTGTTTTATTGTCTGTTAGGACTATAGGACTATCAAAAGTTGTCGAGGGTGCCATTCCCCAAGAATATCTGAGCAAGAAACTGGCTCTCTTTCTTTTGGGCAATTGACTAAACAATCTCTTTCCCACTGTAGTCACATAATTACATAGACACTTTGTATTCCATTTACTTTTTCTCAGGTAAGCCTCAGATTTATAATAATTTACTTCTAGATTTACATTTAATGCACTATTGAATGTAAATTCTTTATACCTCTATTAACTTAGAAATCCAGTTAGCCTCTTTGCTTTAAAAATACATACTCCGAATCACATTTGATATTGCAATTAAACTAATATAATGACAGCCATCTTCTATAATTTGCATATTTAGAAACCATTTTCTTTTTTCTTTTTGGAGAGGTTTTTGCTATAGAACGTGTGCACTTGCCAGAAAGAAAGATAGAAAGCGAGAAATCACTCTCCAGGAGGGATGGCCATGCTGCAGTCCCTTCTCCTCCATTCTCCTCTCGGGATCTTGGGCATGCACACACATGTGCCCGGTGTGAGTTTAAGCCACTGGGTCTGGGACTTGAACTGCAGTCAACTACATGGGACTATCAAAAGTTGTCGAGGGTGCCATTCCCCAAGAATATCTGAGCAAGAAACTGGCTCTCTTTCTTTTGGGCAATTGACTAAACAATCTCTTTCCCACTGTAGTCACATAATTACATAGACACTTTGTATTCCATTTACTTTTTCTCAGGTAAGCCTCAGATTTATAATAATTTACTTCTAGATTTACATTTAATGCACTATTGAATGTAAATTCTTTATACCTCTATTAACTTAGAAATCCAGTTAGCCTCTTTGCTTTAAAAATACATACTCCGAATCACATTTGATATTGCAATTAAACTAATATAATGACAGCCATCTTCTATAATTTGCATATTTAGAAACCATTTTCTTTTTTCTTTTTGGAGAGGTTTTTGCTATAGAACGTGTGCACTTGCCAGAAAGAAAGATAGAAAGCGAGAAATCACTCTCCAGGAGGGATGGCCATGCTGCAGTCCCTTCTCCTCCATTCTCCTCTCGGGATCTTGGGCATGCACACACATGTGCCCGGTGTGAGTTTAAGCCACTGGGTCTGGGACTTGAACTGCAGTCAACTACATGGGAGTCCAGCAACATACCCATTACACAAACTGTTGGTCCCAAAAACCATTTTAATTTCAATTTCAAACATCATAAGTAAATACTCTGGAGATTATATTGTTTCAATTTTTGTTCTTAAAGTTTTGTAACCATTTTATTGAAAGCAATAAAGTCATAACATACTAAAAATTGAAATTTGGAGTGGGCTGGCTTCATGGCCTAGTGGCTAAAGGAGCTGGATCCCATATGGTTCAAGTCTCAAAACTAGCGCTTGAGAAACATGCTGGGCACATGTGCCTACATCCTTAAAATCCTGATAGAATAGAGAAATGGAGGAAAAGGGATTGCAGCGTGACCATGTCCATGGAGGTGGGGAGAGGTGCTTTCTTCTCTTTCTTTCTCTCTTTTCTCTCTCTTTATCTCTGGCAAGTGTATACACCCTTTGGCAAAAATTCTTTTTATAAAGAACTATTATTGGGACCAGCAGTTAGGGTAATGGCTATGTCGCTGAACTCCTATGTAGTTGACCGTGGTTCAAGTCCCGGACCTGGTGACCTAAACTCATGCCAGGTGCGTGTGCATGCATGCCCAAGATCACAAGAGGAGAATGGAGGAGAAGGGATTGCGGCGTGGCCATCCCCCCTCAGGGGTGATTTCTTGCTTTCTGTCTCAAGCACCGTTCCCCATAAGAAAAAAAAAAAAAAAAACCTACAAAAAAAAAAAATAACTATTATTATAACAGATGAGGAGTTGTATTATTGGTATTGTATGCCTTTAAAAACCCTGTTAATGAGACCAGCAGGTGGCATAGTGATTGAGGCGCTGGACACTCCCACATGGCAGACCATGGTTCAAGTCCCATACCTGGTGACTTGCTTCTCACTTTCTCTCTC